CCCCCTGGGTGGGGGTAGCCTGCTTACAATGTAAGGGAGGGAAAGAGCCTTGTTAGCTTTGCCACTTACCCATTTGCTCTTGTTGCTTTGCAGTCCCATTGCCATGAGCTGTTGCCCTCTGCCATGTGCCGCTCTGCCTTGGAGCCAGCCCATTATGGACTGAAACCACCACAAACTGTAAGCAAAATAAACCTTTCCTTCTTTAATTTCAGGTGTCAGATATTTTGTCTCAGCAATGAGAGAAAAAACACCAAGACACCAACCCAGCCATATGCTCTCTGAATCAGGCTGATCCTTAAGAGGGAGGGAGTTGAAGGTTTGAGCTGCTCAGATTGGGCTCTTGCTCCTAAATCTATGAACTATGTACTTCATTTCTTCAGCTGGTCACGTAACATGTGTGGTGAGTGTATAGGCACAGCAGACTCAGAGAAATTGGTAACTGTTGTGTCGTGAAAATGCTTCACTCTAAACTGTGTAATATTAAATTCAGAACCTCTTATTCAAAAAGTCATGAAAAATGTTAACATGGAAATAGTAGCTCATTCAGTCAAACATAAGAGTTTTTAAAATGTAGAACCCTTGGCTGTTCCAGCCATCTCCCCTTTATCTCAAGATGTCATCTTGCCAGCATATTCTAGTTATTAGTGCAAATTCTAAGCAGAAAAAGAAAACTGGTTTAATCCAAATTTACCTAGTAAAGCCATCCCGTACCGTGTCCCACAAAACAATAAAACAACAGCAGCTGTGATTAGGGTAGCAGACCTAAGGCTGTGGGAACAAGAGTCTCATAAGACTGCTGCTTTCAAATGCTGATAAATATATCTACCCCCAACACAGGCTGGACCACAGCTTTATAGTGTAAGTCTAAAAGATAAGAAAGTGGGGGCCAAGGAAATACCATTGTGTGAGGGAGCTTGCTTCATATTTAATCTGTGCATCCATGAGTTAGTGTAATACAGTCCTGGCTTTCTTCCGTTTCCTCATTCAGACTTCCCCAGAGAAGTAAACAGAACTGGCATAGCGGTGTGTGACTGAGACAGTAGACAGCATTCAATACCTTGGGAGCAGAATATCCTTCAGTGCTTTAGCCCAGGGCTCTGTGTTTTCTGGAGTATAAGACCAGGTTGTGCTGCTTCTCCAGGTTGATCAGCTGTGGTGCAGGTGGGTCACACAGGTGAGGTTACATTTGCCCCTGGTATTCTCTTGAGCCTTGGGGGACCAGATACCAATGAATCTGAGGATTGCATTGTCCACTGCTGCTTATGTGTAAGTGCTAACTTTGTGTGCATGGATGTTTAGGCTCAGGAGACTCTGCACCTTTTACATAGAGAAAATGCTTCACTATCGACTATGCAAAATTAAAATTCACAACCCTTTAAAATATCATGAAGATGGTAATAGGAGATCTTTCAGTCAAACAAAAGGCTTTTTTTTTTTTTTTTTTTTTTTTTTTTTCTTTTTGAGACAGGGTCTTGCTATGCAGTTCAACTGGCCTTGAGCTCACTTTGTAGCTCCGGTACCGGGAACCGAACTCACGACCTTGCGCTTGCCAGGCAAGCGCTTTTGCCGCTGAGCTAAATCCCCAGCCCCCACAACAAAAGGCTTTTTAACAGAGCAAATTTAAGACTACTTGTTACCCACAGCCAAAACTGCTCCTACCTTTTTATGCATCTAAAATTATTTCAACACACATGATTCAACAAAACTACCAAAAATTGTGCAATGAAGTCAAACTGCATCTTGGAAATATTTGAGTAATAAAAATGCCAACAATAAAGTAACCCATACTAAACTATAAATTCTTATTATTATCAAGTTCCCAGGGAGAAATTAAACTTCAAATAGCAGAGTTTCAAATAAATTAAAGTCCTAAATTTTTAAGTAAGAAAATAATTAAAGTCTGAAATTAAAATCCTGGATTTTGTTATTTAACTATCTTAAAGAAATTAAAGCCTGCAAGAATCTTTGCCAATGTCATATAATTTTTCAGTTTCAACTACAGGAATTTTGCAGGGGAATTAAAGGAGCTTCACCAATTTTATAATTCTGTGGGAAATCTTATTTCACATTTTAAGAAAGAAAACAGCTTTATTCATAATTTTAAAAATATACAGGTGGCTGTGGAGAAAACTGATTGGCATCAGACACTGAGAGAATCAGTTGCAGGTGATTTTAACAGGAATAGTCATTTTGATGATATGACCAAAGAAGATCCCCACTGCGTGCAGTCTCCAGGAACCAGGTGACAGGAAAATGACTGTGGAAGAGGGAGAGCCCTCCATTTAATTGGGGGTGCGCAAGGGGGTACACTAAGAGGCCATGAGTCAATCTGGAACTAGAAGTGATATCTTCCCATCAACCAAAGCAGAACCAGCAGTAGGGGCCTCTGTGTCCTACCTCTGCTTCCTTGAGCTATGCAGAGAGACAGCCTACACTCTATTAGTGGGAATGTGCAGCACTAGTGGCTAGTTCTGAGATGTGATGAACGGTAGCCTTCAGCCCTAGAACTGTAGAAGAAAATGGAGGGCTCTCTGAAAGTTCCCAAGTTTCAGTGGTACTCAAAGATGGCAGAAATGCAGGTCTCCAATGTCAGTCAGTAAATAGTCCCAGTTTCCCAGTTCAGGCATCAGATATGAGTTCCAGCATCAGGACATGGATGTTACACTTATTGCCAATAGTAAAGATCTACTAAACGAGAACTCTTTTGATCAGAGTGAGAATGCTGGTTATTTTAACATTTATTGTTGAAAGGCCTCCGAGAGAGCAATATTCTGCTACACGAAATGTGAATTCTATTACTTTAACTATTAATAATATATTTTTAATTACAAAATTGCATTTGTAGGGTCGCATAAATGCCAGTTGCATTTCAGCCATTCTTCCTCTTACCTCTCATCTGCATTTTTGCTCTGGAAACAGGAACAAAGAATGCTTTGCCTTACTTTCATTGCTCTTTTCTGCACTTCTGTGGCAGGGCTGGCTCCTAAAGAACCTGGGTAAGGAAGGGGAAGCCTTGACAGCAATGATTCCTGATGGCTCATGCTCTGTCCTAAAGGCAAGAGAAATGTGTTCAGCCCGGAGAGTGAGTTCCTTGTAGTGAGTCTAGAAGCTGCTGCCCTTTGCCCGTTTGTGTATTATCTAAGGACCTCCTGGAGTGGCCAACAGTGGTGATGATAAAGAGGCAAACAGGGTAGCTAATGACCTCTGAGTCCTCCGAAGGTATCATGTGTATAAAAAATGAAGCATAGCTTAGAATGCTTTTGTTATTCTCAGAAATAATTATTTTTTTCCTCTAAGAAAGAAGAAATCAATGCAAAGAAATGCTATTCCCCATGAACTGTTGAGGTCTTTGTGTTGCTCTACATTGACATCGATGAAAGATTTCTGCAGGCTGATCGATAAATTCTTACTGGCTTTAAACCAGTACAAGTGACCATGTACATTTTAAACAAATCCATGTGGTTCTAAGCCATTTTTATATGTGACCATGGAACAAATATAGCTGTTACAAGTTTTCAATTATAGAATCTCCTTTAGAGGATTTTAGGAATGAAAAGCTGTCCATCTTTGCACTTCTTTCTTCATGTTTTCTCATTTTCTACAGCAAGCTATAGCAGAAAATAGAAGAGTATAGGAACAGGAGCTAGCTAGGTACAGTATATCCCAAGAAACCTGGTTTAGGAGACTACACTACTATAACAAACGAACTCAACACTGTATCATGTTTAAATTACATTTTCCTTGCAAAAAGACAGGAACATTTTTATCCTTCATGACTTTACTGTGTCTGTGTCTGCCTCTTCCATCTGGAGAGTTGCCCTGGCCAGCAGCTCTTTGGGCATCTGTCCCCTTTTCCATTTTTCCCCCACCACGCAAGGCTAGGCCCTCGTCTGTGCATGCGCTGTGTTGCCTTGGTTTCCTAGCAAAGCTTGGAACTTTCCACAGGGTCAACCCTCGACCTTACCTTCAGTTTACACTGGTGACACAGGGTCTTCTTTGTAGCAGGCTCTGGGAACTGGCTCCTCACAGCGCTTTTTTTTGTTGGTTATCACCTTGCAATTGTTTTCGTCTGTGCAGGCTGCTAAAACACAAAGCCACTGACTGAATGGCTTGTAAACAACAGAAATCTGTTTCTTCTAGTCCTGGAGTCTGAGAAGTTTGAGAACAAGGCACCATCAGATGTGATACTGGGCAAGGGTTCTCTTTCTGGTTGTTATGGTTTGAATCTGTGTGTCCCCCCAAAGCCTCAAACAGCCATGGGGCAGGCTTTTAGAGTTTGATGGGTGTGAGAGCTACATCCACCCTGGGGTGGAGAGTTTGCATATGTAAGGGAGAGGAAGAAGCTGCTTGAGGCCATTCCTCCCCCATTCCACCCTGGTGGGGGCTTGTTACTTTTGCTGTGTTCTGCACCAGGAGCTGTAGCCCTCTGCCATGTGCCAGTCTGCCTTGTAATCTGCCAAGTATGGACTGAAACCTCCACAAACTGTAAGCAAAATAAACCTTTCCTTCCTTCATTTTGGGGGTCAGGTGTTTTGTCCCAGCAACAAGAGAAAAGTAACCGAGACGCTGGTTTATGTACTGTGGTCTTCCTCATGTATAGGACAGGAGGAGGATGAACAAGGGCGTCCAGGGAGAGGCCATGAGTTGTTCTGAAACTAGAAGTGAGGTCTTCAGGAAACATTCTGTCATCTTTCCAATAGTACTGAGGTTATGCTGTCTTTCTGCACTGCTCATGACTTCCCTTTATGTCCCAGACTCTTTATGAGTCAGCCGATGTTTCTTTTACAAGGTACTGTAATGCTCTACTCTTTGGGCTTAACGGCTTTGCAAGTCCCTGGTTGGTGGGTAATGGTATTTAGGTATGTGATGCTGGGAAAACCATCACATCAGCCATCAGGATTTTACCTATGAAATTTGGGGGACCCAAGCATTCAGACTGTAGTAGTAGTATATCACAGGGATTCTTCTTTTCCAAATTTGCTAATTAGCAAAGTTTTTTTTTTTTTTTTTTTTTTTATGAAAGCCCTATATTGTAAGCCTGCCAATCATTTTTGTGTTGGTTGCGGGGTCTTTAGTAGGCTATAGGAGCAAGAAGAAAGAAGAGTGCAAAGAACTTGTACGGTTTCTGTCTCCCATCTGCAACATGATTTGCAAGAGATTTGAGTTTATTCTTTGACTTTTATTTCAGAAGACAGTGCTCCCTCATTCCACTCACATTTCCTGACAGCACTGTAGTAAAGACCAAATTAAAGTAAGCACTCAAGAGGTCTGAGGATGTAATTCGGTGCTAAAACACTTTTCTGGCAAGTAGGAGTCTCTTGGTCCAATCTCGAGGACTGCAGAAAAGTTTTTCATGAAAAAACAGAGTGAGTTCCCATATTAACTTGATGAGGTATTTTAGACTCTCACATCATAAGAACCTCAGAAATAGGGGAGGCACAGATCCTTTTGTAACAATCTCAGTCTAATCCTCTTAAAATTTTCCTACTGCTTGCTTCATATTTCAGAATTATCTGCATAATTCTTCTTCATCATAGCCTTTAAATTGGTCCTCCCCACCATACACCGGAGTGTCACAGAAGCCCCGTAGAGCAGCAGTGGAAGGAAAAGTGAACACATACAGAGGCAAGCATACATGCTATTGTTGCCCCACTTCTCAGCCAAAGTATCAGTACATTTTGTTCTTGTTTTTCATTTGACTTTTTGTTTTACACACTTGGTTCGAACAAAGGAGCATAGATTCTGCTAGTCCCTCAAGCAAGCATCTACAATCTCTCTATCCCCTACACCAAACATTTTTGAGCAAAAGTATCCACATTACTCTGCTGAAATTGTACTTTCAAAGGTTCCAAATGCTACCACAATTTTTAGAGTAACATTTGCTTTTATCTTTTATGAGCACTTCTGACACCAATGACCATTCTGCCCTTAATCAAAACCCTCTTCTGGTGCCATTTCTGGGAACCTATGCCCATCGATCTGAGTTCTGCTCCACCTGTTTTTCTTGACATTATTCTGCTAAAGATGGTGTCTGTCGTGGATCATGTTTCCTAGAGTCTGGGGAGAGCTGTCAGGAGGGAAATGAGGGGAGCAATATAAGGAAGGGACATAAAACCTATTGCTTCAGATGGAGACTAACATTACCTGCTCCTATGAAATGGCCTGGAGCTCAAATTGCACTACTCATGACTTTTCTTTGAGGCAGGAGGGCTGACCGGTGTACCACTACTTTTAGCAATAATGACAGCAATAGGGAGATGGAGATGAATGCCTCAAATCATAAAGAGGAACTGGATAAGGCTGATCAACATCAACTATATCATTCTCAGCTATTTCTTCCTGTTCTTTCCACTTTCTTTAGAGCAATGTTTTCTCATGTCTGTGCATACGTGTGTATCTGCCCCGTGATTATCACCATCTTGCGCATCTCCACTTCTTAATTCATTGCACATTTGATGTCCTTCAAAGTTATAATTTTAATGCTAAAATCATTAATCACCACTTTATCTCCACGCACTGACTTTGCTATGTTAGTTAATGGTATCATTATTCTCCTTGTTATTAGGGCTCAAAAGATTTTAAACTGTCTGTCATGCCTTCTTCTTCTGTCATTATTTCTTTTTTCTTTATTCCCCACATTAATTCATTGAAAATAACCCATGATTTCACTTTATGCTTTCTGTCTTTGTTCATGACACTTCCTTCATCTCAGGTGCTTTCTGCCCATCTGTACATGGAAGGAGTGATGCCGTTAGGAGCTGTATAATGTTCAGATTGCTTCCTTTCATCTTTTGCTTTCCCCTGTCCCTCTCCTTCCATCATTTTTGCACATGTCATTGTTCTGTTGACTTCTCCAAGTGAAACTGCTTCAGCCCCTTGCCTCAGGCCAGCAGAATATCTGAGAAAATAATGGATGTAAATATACTGAATAGAAAAAGAGAAAAAACACAGAAGCACAGTAGGACTTTGAAGCAAATAGCTACAAGTTTTTAAAACCAACATTTTAGCTTCAGTATCTAAACTATTACTTTTAAGCAAAAAGAACAACAACAACACACTCTGGCCCATGAAATATCAATGAAGAGACCATCAGAGGGCAAACTGTTGCACATCTAAAATCATCTCGAGTTTTCAAAGCCATTCTAGATATACATTGTATTCCTGCCATGCATGATTAACTCACTCTGCTGGGATCTGAAGGTCTGGAAATCTATAAACATAGTGATCATAATGACTGCAGTTTCTTTTTAGGATGAAGATAACTTGGCATTCTTGGATGATTAAACATTGCGTATTTATTTACAGTCAAAGTTTTTTTTTTATTTTACGGTACAGATATTGTTTTCAGGTTTCCTCTGTCTGTAGCTCCTGTCCACAGAACAGTCCTGCCCTGTTCATGGAGAGGTCTGGCCAGGTCAGTGGAATAATTACACATTTCTCAGCTGAACAAGAGATTTAAGTTTCAGAAACGAAAGCTTTATTTGTTCCAAAAGCACAACTTCAGAGTGGAATGACAGTGAGCAAATTTAATAATTACTCCCTTTAGATACTCAAAACAAATGGTATTTTTTTCTGCTGCGTCTCAGCATCAGCCACAGTGACCAGATATCAATGAAATTTTGCACTTAGCAAGCCATTTTTAGAATTTTGTTAATCAAACAAAACAGAATTTTATTAATCATTTAATTTGTTAAAGGCCTTAGTGAAAATGTTCATACTGCTTTAGTAAAAATATTCATATGAAGGTGTTTCCATAATCAAAATAAAAAGAACATGACTTGGATGATTTTACTTCCTATAGAACTGGGCTAATGCACTCAAATTCATCCTTACTCTAGGAAAAAATGGGGGAAACAACATTTTTTAAAAGGTACCATGTGACAGTATTAAAGAGTTTATAAAATAGTTGGGACTAGGTAGGCCTAGATTTGGCAGAGTGAAATAAGCTACTCAAGATTGCTTTTGCTTGGCAAAGATTTTCCTGGCCTACAGGACCCTCTCCAAAACTGAGCTGTGCCTTTGCAAGTCCAGCAGATCTAGAGGACAGACATCAAACTCAGACACTGGACAACAACTCTGGCTTTCAATTAAGATGAGTTCTGTGCAGGGAATTATGGTCTCTAGGAAGAGTGAAACAGAAATAAATCAGGTGTCATGGGGATTTGCAGCTAGAAATTCATATTTCAAACCCCTCAGAATTCCAAGTCTCTCTGCCAAATTCCAGAAGCTACCACACAGGGGCTCTGAAGGAAATCATCATTATCTTAGACATCAAACCCCCTGCTAAATGATTTATGAGATAAGACATCCATCATAAGAGGAGGAAAACAAACATGCAATAGAAATAGACCAATAAAGAAGTGAGTGGCATGTTCAAATTGTCAGATAAGACCATAAAGCAAGTACTCTTACTTAAAAATACAAAACATAAGACTGAATAATTTGAACAAAAGCTAGAAACATAAAAATGACATAAAATTTAAAAAGAAAAATATATGCAAACAAAAGAATAATAAAATAATTTAATAGTTTATTTTAAGGATTGAAGAGCAAATTAGGCATAGCTGAAGAGTGAACTGAGATTAAAGCAAAGAAAACTTCAGAAAGAACACAAAACTAACAATATCACAAAAGTTTAGAAAAAATACAAATATGGAAGGAGCCACTTGAAACATACAGGAAGAAAAATCTAATATTCATTTGTTTGGGTTTCAGAAAGGAAGGAATGAAATAGAGGGACCATTTGATGAGAAAACAGCTGAAATTATTTCAACACCATCTTCAGCTTTTATTTTATTTTATTTTTTTTTACTTCACTTTTTTTTTTCATCTTCAGCTTTTAAATAAAAAATCCCACCTCTAAGTTTTTTTGAAATGAATCACAAGTGGGAAAAAAAAAAAGTCTTCTCTTAGACAAATCTTAGTGACACTCCTTGAAAACAAAGAGCCAAATTTTAAAGCAGTTCAAGGACACTAATATTAAAAAAGCTTTTTGAGTGCATCAGTGCAAACCACTAGACAGAGGGATGATATTTAGGAAATATATGGCTTCAAAACTAGAATTCTATACCCAATGAATGCATAGTATAAAAACCTGCTATAAAATTTAGAAGTACTTTCCAGGGAATAACAATATAACAATGAAAATATTCAGTAACAAGCTTCACTAAGGACAATTGTACACGGCATATTTTGGGTAGATGGAACTTAATTCAGGATAAGAGGAATAAACCTGTAGGTGAAGGTTGGTTTAGTGAATATTGGCTGAGTAAAACAATAATAACAATTGTTTATGATCCTCAGTATACTTGTTTAATATCATTAAGTACCTGACAGCATTATCTTATAAGTTAGGAATTGGAGAAATAGATATATGATGGCCCAAAGCCTGAAAAAGTAAGATACTCTCCAATTTTTCCTATTTATTATGCTTTCAAGATTGTCTGTTCATCCTACTAAAAGGTAAATTTCCCAAGGGCATTTGGAGAAGTGGGACCTATGCTCTGTACTGATGTATTCTGAGCATCTGGAATAGTAACTGGCACATAATAGATGCCCAGTGAGCTTGGATTAATGAAGGAATTTGCTCTCCTCACTGGCATTTAGTTATTTCTTCTGTGTAACCCCATAGTGCAGTGCAGTCTTAGTGCTGAGGCGTGATTTAAGATGAAGCTCTATGAAACTGTTAAGATACTGCTGATTCTTTTGCATGAAGCCTGATGAACATTTTCGGAAGGCACTCCTGGAAGGCTGGGTATACACAGAATACTTGCAACCTTTCTCTCATGACTTGTTTGGACTTGTCTTGTGGGCCCAGAATTTAGATTTTATTCCCCTTGAAGTGGTTGTTTTTCCTTTTTCTTATCCTGTTAAATATGATTCATTCTTCTGTTTCATTTTATATGTCATTGCAGTATCTAGAATTGTTTGAGGAAAAAGGTGGGATGTATTTAATCAATGTTAATTAATTATCTCCTAAAATGAACAGCCCTCCATGGACCTAGAGTTTGGAAGGAGTTAATGTACTATGCAATGTGCCTCAGATACTCAGAGAGGGTTGGTTACGTGCACTCCGAAGACCCGAGTAACTATGCCATTAACCTTTCCTAGCCTAGCTGTGGAAAGCTCTTCACCACTGGTTCAAGTGACTCTTTTTCCTTTGACTGCAACTAGCTAGAATTTTTATTAAGTGTCATTAATCAACAGTGAAAAATTCTCTGAGCAGGAAAATTGTCACTGGAACGGGCTGCAGTATGTGGAAAAAATAAATAAAAGGGGTTGATAATTATATATTAACTCAAACAGTAACAGTCTTTTCAAATCATCATAGGTCGCAGGTTCTCTTTGATTTTGGGGGTCTAATTTTGGGGAAGACCTATTAATCTTTTTTCCATTTCTTTGCCTTTCTTGTTCAGTAATTGAACTGTTCAGGTGTTATTGATTAATGTAGCTCTCTTAAATGACAGGTTGGTATGGCAGCCAAAGCTATTCTCTATGCTGCTCTTACTTCGGAAATGACTCATGAGTTATTCTGGAAGATAGAGAAAGAATAAGGATTTCAAGTTTTGTTTTAAAAACAGACTTAGGCACTACTAAGGGAGGAGTGTCAAAGCATATTTTCTTTGGACCACTGGGGTTTGAACTAACTGGAATGAAGATTAGTTTGTATGAACTGTAAGAACTAGAACACTATAAACCTATCAGATTGGGGGGATGTGGACCTTAGGAGAGATTTTATTAATATGCATTCATAAGGGTCTAGCTGAAGTGACTGCAGGAAGGAATTATATTCCAGATGTAGCATATTGAGGACCATGCTAGCTGTACAAATGAGTGAAGCTCTTCAAATTTTAAACAGGCTCACATTAGAGGAAAAAGGAAAGAAAACACTGTCTGGAGAAATAGGGAAAAAGAAGTAGATGTTTAGGAAGGTAGACCCTGTAGGATTTTATCATAGCCCAAAACTGCCAGTATCATTTATTTTGTGGAATCAACATCTGTGCTTTGTGATTTAATTGGAGGATATGAGTGCAAGGTGAGTTCTGTTTAGTTTGCAACTCTGGTTGTTTCTCACCCCACACTGTTTGTGTTAATTGCCCCTTGTGGTTGGACTGCATGCCTCTCATCCTCAGTGTGTGCAAGTGAATTTGTGCTGTGCTTCTCTCAAACACACCTGCAAGAAATTTTAATGGCATTAAAACTTGAAGATGCTTTCCTAACTCCCTGTTGCATAACAGTCATGACTATCTGAGGTATCATCACAAAAGGTAATTTAATAATAGCTATGATGATGTAGGCACCTGAAGTTCCAGCTGGCAGTATACACCACTGTAATAATATATATGTTACTGCCTGCTGAGAGAGAGACAGGGAGAAGGAGAGAGAGACAGAGAGACAGAGACAGAGACTTAGCTAATTCTGTACCACTGCTATCTATCTATCTATCTGGTGATTGATCAATTGATCAATTTTGCATTCTCTAAATTGTATCTAAAAAAGAGTTTGGAAATAGATGTAGCAGAGAATCCTAACCAAATTATAAGTTGAGAAACTTGTAATTTGAGAAACTGTGGCCTGTTTCGTTCTGCTCTCCGGATTTTCTCTTAACACAAGTGCAGTTTATAAGAAAATTATATTGTTATAAGTGGGAGTAATAATCCGTTTTACTCACTAGCTTAGTCTTTGTTTTGTAACTATGGCCTCAAAAAAGCAAAAGGAAATGTTACTATTACTAAAATGTGAACCAGAGATTAAATTTTTAAAGATTTGAAAAGCATTTATTTGCTATATCTTAAAAAGTAGATGATCATCTTTTAAGGTAAAGAAGTAATTCAATGTGTATATTCACACAAACTAAAATTTATGTTATGCTTATTCATGTGTATGTTTCTTCAATTC